CTACTCTGTGTTTCTCTCTATTTCTCATAGATCTCCACGTTTCTCTCATTTAGATGGGTTGTTTTCTAGATCTTCACTACTGTCTCTTAGCAGCCAACACTGCTACTGCTGATTCTGCTCCTACTCTGATCCTTCCCCTTCTATAGGCTATCTTTTCTGGGAGGAGTGGGGGTATTTTTAGGAGGCTGTTAGGAATTTCTGTGTAACCTCAGTTTTCTAACACTTTGCAATTCATTCTCCTTGACATTGACTAGATTCCTGTGTTTCAAAGATTCATGCCTCCTGTTAACTCAGGGAAATTTTCTGTGATTTCTTGCCCTCCAGTTTTGTTTTTCTCATTCTGAAACTTCTATTAGTCCACATCTAGATCTCATGGATCAATCATTTATATATCTTACTTTTTTCTCACATATTATACCTTTAATACATATTCTGGGAGATTTCTCTAAGTTTGTCATTAAGCTATCTATTGAGTTTTTTGCTTAGGTAATCATGGGTCATCGGGTAAAGAATCTGCCTGCAATGCAAGAGACATAGGAGATGTGAATTCGATCACTGAGTTGGAAAGATCCCCAGGAGGAGGAAAATGGCAACCTATTCTAGTATTCTTGCCTGAAAAATCCCAGGGATAGAAGAGCCTGGTGGCCTACATTCCAAAGAGTCGCAGAGTTGGACACAACTGAGCAACTACGTAACAGCTCATAATTCCTGAGGGATCCTTCTTTTATCTGATTATTCCTTTTAAATATAACTTTGGTTTTGTTTCAGTTACCAAATCTCCTCAAGTGATTCTTGAGGATATTAAAAAGATTTTCTTATTTATTTATTCTATTATTTTGTAAAAATATATTAACTGATTTCATTACTTTTAAACATACTTATTTTATTATTTTTAAACAATGTTTATTTATTTATTTAGGCTGTGCTGGATCTTAGTTGTCACAGTGGGTTTTCCTTTGTGTCACGCGGGATCTTTCCTTGCGGCCGGCGAGGACTTTAGTTTTTGGCACACAAGCTCTGGAGCACGCAGGCTTAGTAGCTGTAGTTCCAGGGCTTGGTTCCTCCACCTTATGTAGGATCTTGATTCACTGACTGGGTGTGAATCCTAGTTGGATTCTTAACCACTGGACCACCAGGGAAGTCTCTGATTTTCTTTTGTAAGTTTGTATCTTTTTCCCCTAAATTGTCATATTTCCATGGTGTCATGTTTTCTGCTATTTTTCTTGCTCATCTTATTTTCTATGCTGGCCTTTCTTGGCATGTTAGATTTCTGGTGATCTGTAGTTATATGTAAAAGAATAAGGTAATATAAGGGCTGTTTGCTAACCCTCAGAAGGTAGATGGGTCTTGTAAATGGCATGCTAAAAGGGTCAAAGTTTAGAGTGTGTGCATGGGAATGGGGTGGGGAGGATCTTGACTTGCTAGAGTGAGGTTTTAACACCCATGATAATGGTCTAACTTCTGCCCGGACAAATTTTTACTGCCTTGAACCTAGTGGTGGCTTTAGGTCAACCCACCTGGAGAGCCAGGAGGGCGGGAATTCTACGTTGTGTATACTGACTTGTAATTTGTAACCCTCTTTTCAGCTCTTCCACTCTCTAGTTTACTCACTAATTCTGAGAATTTAGTTTTTCTGGGGTAGTGTCAGGCGGTATGCTCTCTCCTTTGCTGAAACCCCTTTTTAGGTTGTGGTTTCCTTTGCTGTGGCTTCTAAGTCAACAGACTTTTATTGAAATCACTCACCTTCTAACGGCTTCTTCCCATTCTCTTTGTGGTTATGGGTTAACACTTATGGGCTCCTTTAGTATCATTTAGAAATAACTTCGGGTGAGAAAGGAGGTAAAATGGGTTTTCTTAGTCCACCAGTGTGAACCAGAGCACATTCTTTTAAAAAAGAGAGTGTGATTTTTTCATAAGCCACATCCTCCAGCTTTTCATTTTATTTTCAACAGTTTGTTAATCTGACACTTGGTCAGCAATCACAGAAAGTTGCATAAACATATCACTTACTAAATGGAGCCCATAGAACGTATACTTATGGGGGAAAAAAAGTGTTCTGCTATTTTCTCTGTCTCTTAACTGATTTTTCAAGGAGTTTTGTTTTCTTAGGCTTTAGTGAATTCAGAAAGGCTATTAACTTGCTTAAAAGTTGTATTTTATTTTATTTATTAAAGAAAACATAATTGGATGTCTTCAATAAAAATGTTTCTCTTCTTACTCAATAGATAAATGGGCAAAGACCTCAAGAGTAGATGTTCCAAATGAGAAACATAATTTGTAACAAATATATGATGCTGTTCAATGACAGATTCAAATTAAAATAGGGTAAGATTAACAAAGATTTTAAAATATGATAATTATTGGGAAAGCGCAATAAGATGAATACTTTTATATACCTTTGGTACAAACAAGAAAATTTGGTACCAACTTTCAGGTACTTTAAAATGTTTATAATACTTAAACTACTGATTCCCCACTTTAGGAATTAAAATTAAGAAAATAATCAAGGATTAAGATGGAGGTTTATTTCTCAAATGCTTATTATAACATTATCAGTTCAGTTCAGTCACTCAGTCATGTCCGATTCTTTGTGACCCCATGAACTGCAGCACGCCAGGCCTCCCTGTCCATTATCAACTACCGGAGTCCACCCAAACCCATGTCCATTGAGTGGATGATGCCATCCAACCATCTCATCTTCTGTTGTCCCCTTCTCCTCCTGCCCTCAACAGCAAAACCATAAATGACATAACATACAGAAAAAAAAATAAAATTTGGCACATCTATACCATGGAATACAGTCCATACATTAAAAGGATGTTTACAAATAGCTGTTAACTATTTAAATGCTTAGATGTAATTTAGATGAAAAGGAAATCTAGAAATGACATATATATTAATATATATCAATGACATATATATATTAATGACATATACATTAATGACATATAATGACATATATATCAACCATTTGAAAAGAAAAAAAAACAAGAAGGAACTATGCTGAAATTTTAACTGTGGTTGTCTTTTGTTGGTAGAATAGTGTGATATATTTTCTTTCTCTACTGATTAATGTTTGTTGTATTTTCCAGGTATTTTATACTGAATATGCTTGGGTTTGAGAAGAGAAAAGGGAAAAACACTTTAAATCATGTGTGTCTGAAAGTAAACCTTTTAAAAATGTCACCAAATGACCCATATGGCTTTACCATGTGAACTCTTTACCTTTTTCTATCACAGAATCAAGAGTGGATTGTATAAAGCAGTGTATGAAGTGTTTTCCATTATTGAAACTATCTCTCAGATGTATCTGGAAAAGCTAGCTGGTATATTATGTTAGGTTTGCTGCTTTTCTCTCTGTTTCTCTATCTCACAAAGTCTGCTTTATGTCAACATTAGCTACAGAAATATTCAGATTCTCGAGAAAGGGGAAACACAGTTTTATCTTTGACTGGAATTAGAGATGAAGTGATAAACAGTAGACTGTGAGGCCGACCCTCAGGTTTAGTCCTGACTGACTCACTTGGTGACTGTTCTGAGTTTTCTCTTGTGAAAAATGAGAGCATTGCATTGGATGGTCTCAAAGGTCCTTATAATTCTTTTGCTATGAGTTTGCAAATATCTTACCCTGGCATAGAGCAGATGAAACTAAAATACAGAAATGACTCAGTGAGAAGCATGCGTTCTACTGGTATGTTACTTTGCTATTTTCTGTGCTTTAAAAAGAGCACTTTGGCTTTGTGAAGTAGTAGATTTACATGTCCATTTGGAAGATGAGAAAAACAGAGACTCTAATAAGCCCAGTGTAAAAGGCACAATTGCCGAGATTTCTAGCTGTATTTTGGGTCTTGGAGCGACATCCTTTGCTCTCAGAAGCATAGTACGGACTGGGGTATTTTTACCCACAGAATACAGAGGTAAGGTGGACAGATGATTTGTTTTGGTGCATTTGTTTCCCCTCCTCAATAATATGTATAGTCAGTGGAATTCTGTGTAAAAACAGAAATCTTTTTGGGACTGGTGCTAGTGCTTTGTTCAAGGAAAGCCTCGTGGGCCACATGGGTTTTTGCCTTTTCTATATATTGCTACTCTTCCTCTTGTCCTCTTTATTAAAAAAAAAAATCCAAAATAGAAACTGCTATAGTAGTTTTTTTTCAGATTATGAAAGGAATGCCTGCCATTTTTGTAAAATTTAAAAATTTTAAAAATTAAAAAATTAAAAAAATTAAAAAATCCAACACCACAGGAGAAGTTTTTTGAAAAATAAATATGATTTAGCATTCCACCACACAGTAATGACCTTAACTAACATGTGAAGGTATTTTCTCTCAGACTGTCTGCTTCACTTGTGCGCACATACACAACATTCAAAATCAACATAGCCAGTAACACTCTTTTGTAATGTTATCTTACAGTGTGCTGTGTCCATAGAGTTTTACATCGTCATCTGCATTTCCAGCATAGGATTGCCCTGTAGGGTGAAATACTTAAATTTACATACATCATTAAATTGCTTAAATTTACTTAAATCATTCCCCTTGATGCATTTTTAGTCTGCTTCCAACTTCTTAGAAGCAACACTGCAATGAGGAACCTTGTATGTATACGTGTGCAACCTGGTTCAATTGTTTCTCAAGCAGAATTTCGTGGAGATGGAATTTCAGTGTCAGAATGTAGATACGTGAATGTGTGATATCATGGGTGGGCACGTAGGATATATGAACAGGCACCTGCGGTGCTGAACCATCCTCCTTGAAGGCTGTTCCTACTGATGCTTCCGCCTCTATCACCGCAGCTTTATTCCACTGCCCTTTGCTCGCCACGCAGTGTTCCCTCAGATGTTTTCAGTAGAAGAGAAGTCCAGCAAACCCCCCTGAGAGGGGACTCTCTGGGTTTCATGCAAGTGTGACCTCAGTCAGGCAGGCCTGGTTCTGCTGTGCTCTTAGCAGGAGTGCAGGCTCTGCCCTTACTTAGTATTTCATCTTCCTCTTTATCCCTAGGGAAGTTTTTGCTGAACTGGAAAAACAGTCGGAGTGTTTTGCCTTCACTCCATCACCGAATAGCAGGTGTCCAGGTTCTGGTTGCCTGTTACACGTAAGTGCCCCCAATCCTGTTTTTCCTGCGTGTGGTTGGTGTTTTGAACATATTCAATGCTCTGTGTTTGTTATCTTTACTCGAGACTCCTACCCTCCCCCAATCACTTTATTTGTTACCTTCAGCCTTTCAACCTGGGGCTGTAGACCAGGGTGAAAAAAAATACCAACACACAATTGCTCTTAAGCTCAGAAAATTGATTTTCCCGAGTTTAAGCGGGCATCATGAGTTGTTAACCCTGTTAGAAAAATACAAGTTGGATTTATGATTCCCTTACACAGGTAATTGGGCTCTAATTTTAAATTCTGAGCCAATTGATTTATACTATATTGCATTATAACATAGCAAAAGTGCAGCTGAGTTCAGGTGATGTATGAATTTGAGCCTCTAATTATGCGATAAATTACTTTTGGTTCTTTAACAAATGATGCCTAGGTTGACATCAACCTGTCGTTGTTTCCTCTGTCTCCCCCTACTCTGTAACTTTCTCCTCTTTCTTCTCCTTTCAGCTTTTTTTCTTTCTAACCTTGCAAGGCTCAGGAATGACCTACTTCAGAAACCCAAAACCTGCATATTAAGACTTTAAAAGAAAAATCTGTGCCTCATCCCTACTCACAAACTCTTATTAACATTTCATTTCAACCCACAGTTTATTTCTGGTGGGTCACTATTTTTTTTAAGTCTTTATTGAATTTGTTAAAATATTACTTGTGTTTTATGTTTTGGTCTTTTGGCCATGAAGCATGTAGGGTCTTAGCTCCCCAACTAGGGATTGAACCCACACCCCTGTGCATTGAAAGGGCGGAGTCCTAACCACTGGACTGCCAGGGAAGTCCCTCTGATAAAAGAAAAATCTGTGCCTCATCCCTACTCACAAACTCTTATTAACATTTCATTTCAACCCACAGTTTATTTCTGGTGGGTCACTATTTTTTTTTTTAAGTCTTTATTGAATTTGTTAAAATATTACTTGTGTTTTATGTTTTGGTTTTTTAGCCATGAAGCATGTAGGGTCTTAGCTCCCCACCTAGGGATTGAACCCACACCCCTGTGCATTGAAAGGGCGGAGTCCTAACCACTGGACTGCCAGGGAAGTCCCTCTGATATGTCACTGTTGTTGCATTGCTTATGATATTTGCTACAAGCCACCAGTTATGTAAGTTGCTTTCTTGGTGTAAGACAGTTTCTCCAGGAGATTTCTTTTGGAATTTCAATACTTGTCCTTTCCACGAGATCCTACTGTTGGTGCCTTTAATAGTCTAGCTTTATCCTTTTCTTTCCCCCCACTTTGTGATAGTTTCCCCATTGTATTTATTTTTAGCTGGTTGCATTTTATATATTTCTGCAAGCATATCAAGTTGTTTATAGAAAAAGGGTTGAGTATAAATAAATAACACATGCTGCTGGAGCCAATTTCTGGAAGACTTGAGTTATCCAGAAATCAGAGGTACTTAATTGGAATCTGTATCTCAAACTTTGCCTTCCTTTGGCAAGTCCTTGTTATTTTGAATAGGGGACTAATTTAAATGACGCTTTGAGCATTTGTCAGAGAGATTAAGAAGCAGAAGGAAAGGGCAAAGGAAAAAGCATGGTCGTGGAAGGAACCCTTGATGGGGGCGAGAGATTCATTCCTTCTAGGAGGCTGTAGACAGATCACTTACGGTTTCTCTCACTTCCCTCTGCAAAATCATTTCCTCAGTGTTGAGGCCCTTCCTAATTTAAGGAGTCTATATTTAAAGTTTCTAACTTTGGAGAAAATTCTAGCTCCTGATTCATTATTACTTTTTGTGTTGCTTTTAATTCTCATCCTTCCTAAAAACAAATTAAATTACCTGCTGGAGAGTATCAGTATTAAAACACTCAGCTCAACTGGCTGGTGACCCTGAAAGAAATATTTTTTTCCTTGTTCTGCAGAAAGTAAAGATACTGGATTCTTTCACATGCCTTTCCACCGGTATAGGGGGGTTTGTTTTCCTGAGTGTTCATGGTTAAAGGGATATTTCTATGGAGGACCACGTAGGGTTATGAAAGAAAGATATGAGGCGGCAGAGGAAAACTGCTGGGAAAATCAGTGTTGCATTAAAATGAAGAACTTCTGCTGCACCCAGGACCACTTCGTGAGCATGTGCAATTCTGAACTATTTGAAACATAAACTAGAGCATCATAATTGCTGTATGATAACATTGAAGTTTTTGCTACTTGTGCTTTGGGTTACTTAGAAAGAATATTTTCCTTTTTGGTAAATTGTTTGGAGTAATACAGGACAGAAAGTGTTCTAGTTTAAGTCAAGGCCAAGTGAAGCTAGTGAAACAGTTATCTTATGTGTTTTTCCCCTATCTTTACCCTCTAGCTTTCATTACTCTGAGTAATTAAGTAATTTCACCCTCTTGCTTCTCAGACCATTGGTGAGGTTTTTTCCTTTCAAAAATCTGAATATTTTTTGTGGTTTCACATTTGCTGACTCCCTCTAGGTTAAAGAAGTTTCCTCTCCTAAAACATAATCAAATTCTACTTTTTATAAAATCCTCTTAGAGAATCTTTTAAAATGTACTTTTTGGCTCATTATTCTAGTTGTTGTAGATGTTTGAGCATATATGGAAGTAAAAACTCTTAAAAGGGATTGAGTCTGGAAGTACCTTATGTTTTATTGTGAATAGATCTAAAGTTTATTTTTCAGCAGCCCAAGATAAAAGGTTGATGGTTAGATATCTGACTTAACTGTATACTAGAGAATTATTATTTTTAAACTTAGGCAGTTTACAGAATGCTTTCAGCTGGACATGGACAAACTAGATTTAATATCACATTTTCACTTTGTGATTTATATATATATATATATATACACACACACATATATAATTTTTTTACATTGTTTTCCCACATTATTTTTCCCCTTAGGATATAAGAACTAGGACTTCGCTAGATTTTTCTGGTAATTGCATGTTCTCTTAGCTGCAAATACTGTTAAGTAGCTTTTTAGAATATAACTCTGAGCTGGTTGTTTAAAAATATTTAAAAATCGTTCTATTAAAAATTTGACCCAAATTTGGTAAAGCTCTTTCTGACCATCTGGGCTTTTGTAAAAGTTGTAAAATGTAAAGAAAGTGAAGCCACTCAGTCCTGTCTGACTCTTTGCGATCCCATGGACTGTAGCCTACTGTGGGTCCTCCGCCCATGGGATTTTCCAGGCAAGCGTACTGGAGTGGGTTGCCATTTCCTCCTCCAGAGGATCTTCCCAACCCAGGGATCAAACCCAGGTCTCCCTCATTGCAGGCAGACACTTTACCAGCTGAGCCACCAGGGAAGCCCTGGACACTCCTATCAGGGATGTCACTGACAGCTAGTAATTTGAGAGTAATTTAATGTATAAGGAATATTTTGCAATGTTAGTTTAAGTCTGCATATTTCAAATAGTTTTTTTTCTAATCTGAGAATGTATGAAATGGAAAATTCTCAAGGTATGCTTTTTGTTATAAAATCTTTTATAATGATGGTTATCACCCAAATCAGCAGTGATCAGTGAGAGCTGACGATTACTATTGAATTAGGGAGTGCTAGGGCTATGAATGGAAGTTCCTGACATTGTATAGGAGACAGGGATTAAGACCATCCCCAAGGAAAAGAAATGCAAAAAAGTAAAATGGCTGTCTGAGGAGGTCTTACAAATAGCTATGGAAAGAAAAGCGAAAAGCAACAGAGAAAAGGAAAGATATTCCCATTTGAATGCAGAGTTCCAAAGAATAGCAAGGAGAGATAAGAAAGCCTTCCTCAATGATCAATGCAAAGAAATAGAGGAAAACAACAGAATGGGAAAGACTAGAGATCTCTTCAAGAAAATTAGAGGTACCAAGAGAACATTTCATGCAAAGATGGGTTTGATAAAGGACAGAAATGGTATGGACCTAACAGAAGCAGAAGATATTAAGAGGTGGCAAGAATACACAGAAGAACTATACAGAAAAGATCTTCACGACCCAGATAATCACGATGGTGTGATCACTCACCTAGAGTCAGACATCCTAGAGTGTGAAGTCAAGTGGGCCTTAGGAAGCATCACTATGAACAAAGCTAGTGGAGATGATGGAATTCCAGTTGAACTGTTTCAAATCCTGAAAGATGATGCTGTGAAAGTGCTGCACTCAATATGCCAGCACATTTGGAAAACTCAGCAGTGGCCACAGGACTGGAAAAGGTCAGTTTTCATTCCAATCCCAAAGAAAGGCAATGCCAAAGAATGCTCAAACTACCGCACAATTGCACTCATCTCACACGCTAGTAAAGTAATGCTCAAAATTCTCCAAGCCAGGCTTCAGCAATACGTGAACCGTGAACTTCCAGATGTTCAAGCTGGTTTTAGAAAAGGCAGAGGAACCAGAGATCAAATTGCCAACATCCGCTGGATCATCGAAAAAGCAAGAGAGTTCCAGAAAAACATCTATTTCTGCTTTATTGACTATGCCAAAGCCTTTGACTGTGTGGATCACAATAAACTGTGGAAAATTCTGAAAGAGATGGGAATACCAGACCACCTGACCTGCCTCTTGAGAAACCTGTATGCAGGTCAGGAAGCAACAGTTAGAACTGGACATGGAACAACAGACTGGTTCCAAATAGGAAAAGGAGTACGTCAAGGCTGTATATTGTCACCCTGCTTATTTAACTTATATGCAGAGTACATCATGAGAAATGCTGGGCTGGATGAAGCACAAGCTGGAATCAAGATTGCCAGGAGAAATATCAATAACCTCAGATATGCAGATGACACCACCCTTATGGCAGAAAGTGAAGAAGAACTAAAGAGCCTCTTGATGAAAGTGAAAGAGGAGAGTGAAAAAGTTGGCTTAAAGCTCAACATTCAGAAAACTAAGATCATGGCATCCAGTCCCATCACTTCATGGGAAATAGATGGGGAACAGTGGAAACAGTGTCAGACTTTATTTTTGGGGGGCTACAAAATCACTGCAGATGGTGATTTCAGCCATGAAATTAAAAGATGCTT